TCTGGAACTTGATGACATTCCTTCATTATTTATTTTATTTTGAGGATAAATAAGGACGAAGTCTGAAGAGAGACTTTAACGATCTGTCAACCTGTTTGGTCGGCTATGAGGATGGTTATCTTGTATTATATTAGTAATTACTTTGAGAAATATATTAAGAAATCTAATGTTGTCCTGAGTCTTGTCTTATACTTAACATGACAGCTGCCACAGATAGCTCTTTCCATTCCCAATATTAGATAAATTCAAAACTGACTATAAACACCATGTTGTACAGTATGTGGGAGGTGAGAGTGACATGTACTCAGGAAGTCATTCACAGCCTGATGAAAGGACGAATGACTTCCTGAAACCTCTCTAATAGTTTAATTTGTGTACATATTATGATGTCCTATAATAAACTACATTCATATAAAGTTTTGCTGATATGAAACTCTTACACTACAAATGAATGATTATAGCGGCAAAGATTTTAAAGCAATTTATATTCCGGTAACAAATTTATGGGTTGTAGACAATTTAAATTACTGGGAATATTAATGTGAGAGACTGACTTTAATTACGTGAAAATAAACATTATCGTGACGCCTCTCTGATTGACGTCCTCCATATCTCCCCCCCCCTCCCCCCTTCTCTCTCTCTCTCTCTGCCATTCCCTCACTTTTAGCTTTTCTGCTAGTTTTTTATCTCCTACTCCACTACTAGCATTCTCCTCTCTCTGACTGTCTTTACCCCATTGCTAGCTCCATCTCTTAGCTTTTGAATCACTTTAGCACACTTAGCTTTTTGTCTTAGCTTTTGACTCGTTTTACTCCACTGTCAGGCTCTATTAGCTTTCAACTCACCTTTCCTACATCATTTACCTGTTAGCTTTTTGTGCTAACTCACTCGCAGTCTTTTTCCTGCCTAACTCTTACCTTCCTGTAGTCGTAAGTTTTTCTGATAACTTGTGACACCTGACATCCTGTGTTAACTTGTGGCTCGTTGTTCTGTTATTTTAGTTTCCTGTGTTAAATACTTTTTCTTGTTATGGAAATTTACTCCATAACTTTTCTCGCACTTTGTGTTGCTGTTTACTGGATAACGTTATTGACGATTGTGATACATTTCCTTGATTCTAAAATATTCGTACGTCAAGTTATATTTATTGTACCGGAGAATAATGGTGATATAAAAACGTATCTGAATGTTTCACTTGGACTGTAACACAAAGAGAGATTATAATCCATATGATAGATTAACACATATTGATCTGGAGATGTAACAATGCATCAGGGTTATTGAGGCTAAGATACTAAGATGGATTTTCAATGATTCCTGTTAATTTACCTCCTAACAAGAGAGGCTGACTCCAGTAACGACGTAAAATTACCGGTTTTTGTATAGACGCGACCCTACGAAGTTTCCACAGCAAATGGGGGGGAGGTGTTGCCTGTAAAAGTCTCGACAACTTCCGCGTGTTTTAGTGTCTGCGGCCATGACTTGTGGGACTCGGATGTAATTTACAAGTGTTTACAGTGTTATGACAAGAGCTACTGGAGTTATTAGCACCGTAGTATTTCCGTGTTAGTCTCACAGTAGGTCGCCCTTCGTTAACAAACTCCCAGATGGGTTGCGACAGTAATTTTCTGAAACAAAAATATTGACAACTGCAGAATATTTAGTAATTTCATGAACACAATATTTCGGCCCGTACATAATGTTCATCATAAAGGATCGGCTACACAATGCAGTTAATTCTAGTGTACAGATTACCATAAATATTATGTCCAGGGCGTAAATAAATGTTCTTTGTTTCCTGGATAAACCTACAGTAAATTGTCGGTCCTAAAACTTAATGTGTTTGAACCCCCAGGCAGTAAATGTTCAAGTATACAGTAAAACCTATATTTAACGGACTATATGGCGACGAAAGTCCGTTATATAGAAGGTTGGTTCCTTAGATGTGCAAATGAGTTCACTGCCGATTATACCACGACCTCCTTGTGTACTGAGAAAGGTATTATGTGAGCCGTATCTGCATTGTTCTGAAGGCGATACTCCCAGATAATTCTCTTAAGCAAATTTTCCAACTTAAGCGAAGACTGATGTGTGAGTTTGGTTCCAGTACCTCGGTGATAACTGGATCTAAAATTATTGATCGATTATTACTCTTGATCAGAAGCACAGAGCTACACGGGGTAACTGTGGAGTGTCTAGCATGGGTACATAACGATGAGGGATGAAAGGACCTAACAGGTAACAAATAATGAGTTCTTGAATAACAAACAAAATACATGTCATCGTCTGGCGTTAAGTAAATAATATATTACAAATGGTGTTCGTGTAGTGAAGAGGTCAAGGATTACAGAGTGGTTAATCTGATGTTCTCTCTCCCGTTGTGTGTGTGATGATGGAGGCCATTATTTTCCCTCGTCAGGTCAGCAGTATGAGGCGCGCCACCAGGGTTTTGATATAATAATCTGATAGGATGTGACCCAGGTGAAGCGTGAGGTCCCAGGATCAGGTTGACATAGGACCTGAGTGTTGCCAGTCAGTTAATGGAGAGAGTAACCTTGAGCCCAGGACTCGCACTCGGGAGGTTAAGTACAATACTATTAAGGTCAATCATAAATAAACAAACAATTCACAACTTTCGCTTTCTACATATGTTTCATCCACAACAAATTGGTCCACAGTGAGGTGGTCCATAACAAAGTGGTCCACAGTGAGGTGGTCCATAACAAAGTGTTCCACAGTGAGGTGGTCCATAACAAAGTGGTCCACAGTGAGGTGGTCCATAACAAAGTGGTCCACAGTGAGGTTGTAACAGCATCATTTGTATTATATAAAACATTTACCCAAATGTATAATACCCAATTATTCACCAGGTCATTCACCAATGTGTGTGAATGAAGTCGTGATTTGACATTTCCTCCAGGGAGGGAGCGAGGTTAGGCTGGGTCAGCACATCTTAGCAACAACACATCTGACGCGTTTCCTTTCGAGGCCCTGGCCTGTCCACCCTCTCTCCCTGGTGTGAGAGAGAGACTCTCATATCACTTCTTACCCAGTGAACACCTCACTTAAGTGTTCTCCTATAAGTACACTAAGACACTTCCCTTAGTATAGAAGAGAAGGTACAATATACTCTCAACTGAACTCAGTACCTGTGAAACTATATTTTCTACAATAAAAGAAAACCAACAAAGTGTTTACTTCAGCCCTGCCACTTATTAATTTAAAGAACTAATATATATATATATATATATATATATATATATATATATATATATATATATATATACAGTATATATATTGTGTGACCAACACACTGGTGGCAGCGGTGGGATGGATTAGAAGAAGAATCGGTCAGACACTCGGAAACAAACATTACTTCAAGTGATGCTGTTACAAGGTGGTCCATAGTGAGGTGGTCCATGGTGAGGTGGTCCATAGTGAGGTGGTCCATGGTGAAGTGGTCCATAGTGAGGTGGTCCATGGTGAGGTGGTCCATAGTGAGGTGGTCCATGGTGATGTGGTCCATAGTGATTTGATTTTGATTTTGATTTTGCCGCTTGCAGCGGCTACTTTATTGTGCACCCCACACTCATCCTGTGAGCGGTAGCGCAAAAGGATTACAGAGTAGGGTTTACAAAGGGTCATAATAATTAACCCCGGTTGTCAGGTTATTATGGCACTGAATGTTACACAGTATTTCATTTACATTATTTGTTTAGTTCTATACATAAAGGGTAACTTATTCACAAATGCGTGAGTACAGGCGTGTGAGGCAGTATGTCTGGCCTCACACTTTGTTATTCACATTTACGTGAGAGGTATTCAAGCACATTGCGTATTTGGTTCTGTACATGAGAATTGATATAGTTACTAAGTGCAAAAAAGTGGATACAATCTTAATATGTAGGCTATCTTGCCATAGGGGAGATGAAGTGTTGTGCCATTTCATTAACACACAGTGTGCTTGGACCTGTCCTCAAAGGCCCTATCTTCACACAGTCGAGATCGGTATATGTGTACATATGTGGCCACACCCTTACACGGTTTTGTTTACATCTGCTTGAGAAATACACTGCCAAAGGTACTTATCCTAACCTTAATCTAGCGGTTACAACATCTTGCATCTAGCGGATCTTGTTACTTGCTCCATATACATGTTTCACTTGATACATCTCATCATGGTAACCTTATGGATCGACTAGTGCCTGTTTGCACTTGTCTACTTGCGTCAAACTCATCAATAAGTTCTTTCCTAATTACAGTTTTAAGGGTTCTTTTGACAGACCCAAATTGTATTCAACGGTGTCTTTGTTAGACGCGAGTTTGGCGAGGGCATCAACTCTGTCATGTTTTATGAGGCCTATGTGAGAGGGGATCCACAACAGTTTGACCTTGACACCCCGGTCAACAAGGCACGCATATTTGTGTCTGGCTTCAGAGACAAGAGCGTGACAACCTGAGTCGAGGGTGCCAAGGGTAAGTAGTGAGGATAGAGAGTCAGTGATGATGAGACTGTCCGTAACAGTGGTTTCAATGAATTTAATAGCTGTGAGTATGGCAACAAATTCAGCTTGTAGAGTGGATGCCCAGTTGTTAATTCTAACTCCTTTCTCAATTATATTACCGTCAGGTTGAGTCACAACAATAGCACTTCCAGCCCTCCCACAGGCGGTGTTAAGAGATCCATCAGTGTAGATGGTCTGTGTGATATTATCATCGTGAGGTGGTCCATAGTGAGGTGGTCCATAACAAAGTGGTCCATAGTGAGGTGGTCCATAGCAAAGTGGTCCATAGTGAGGTGGTCCATAACAAAGTGGTCCATAGTGAGGTGGTCCATAACAAAGTGGTCCATAGTGAGGTGGTCCATAACAAAGTGGTCCATAGTGAGGTGGTCCATAGCAAAGTGGTCCATGGCGATGTGGTCCCATAGTGAGGTGGTCCATAGTAAGAGGTGGTCCATAGCAAAGTGGTCCATAGTGAGGTGGTCCATAGCAAAGTGGTCATGGCATGTGGATAGTGGTCCATGGCACAGTGAGGTGGTCCCATGGAGAGGTGGTCCATAACAAAGTGGTCCATAGTGAGGTGGTAAGCAAAGTGGTCCATGCGATGTGGCCCATAGTGAGGTGGGTGGTCCATCCATAGCAAAGTGGTCCATGGTGAGGTGGTCCATAGCAAATTGGTCCATGGTGAGGTGGTCCATAGCAAAGTGGTCCATGGTGAGGTGGTCCATAGCAAATTGGTCCATGGTGAGGTGGTCCATAAAAGTGGTCCATGGTGGTGTCCATAACAAAGTGGTCCATAGTGAGGTGGTCCATAACAAAGTGGTCCATAGTGAGGTGGTCCATAGCAAAGTGGTCCATGGTGAGGTGGTCCATAACAAAGTGGTCCACAGTGAGGTGGTCCACAGCAAAGTGGTCCATAGTGAGGTGGTCCATAACAAGCTGGTCCATAACAAAGTGTCCAGGTGGGAGTGGTGGTGAGTGGTCCCAAAGTGGTCCCAAAGTGAGGTGGTCCATAACAAAGTGGTCCAAAAGTGAGGTGGTCCATAGCAAAGTGGTCCATAGTGAGGTGGTCCATAGCAAAGTGGTCCATGGTGAGGTGGTACAACAAAGTGGTCCACAGCAAAGTGGTCCATAGCAAAGTGGTCCATAGTGAGGGTGGTATAAACCGTCCATGGTGAGGTGGTCCATAACAAAGAGGTCCATAGTGAGGTGGTCCACAGCAAAAGTGGTCCCAGTGAGGTGGTCCCAGCAAAGTGGTCCATGGTGAGTGAGTCCATAGTGAGGTGGTCCAGTGGGTGAGGTGGTCCACAGCAAAGTGGTCCATAGTGAGGTGGTCCATAGCAAAGTGGTCCATGGTGAGGTGGTCCATAACAGTCCATAGTGAGGTGGTCACAGAAGTGGTCCATAGTGGAGGTGGTCCTGGTCCATAAAGTGATCCATGGTGAGGTGGTCCATAACAAAGAGGTCCATAGTGAGTGGTCCACAACAAAGTGGTCCAAAAGTGAGGTGGTCCATAGTAGAGGTGGTCCATAGCAAAGTGGTCCATGGTGAGGTGGTCCATGCTAGGTGGTCCATAGTAAAGTGGTCCATGGTGAGGTGGTCCATAGCAAAGTGGTCCCACAGTGAGGTGGTCCATAGCAAAGTGGTCCATAGTGAGGTGGTCCATAGCAAAGTGGTCCATAGTGAGGTGGTCCATAGCAAGTGGTCCAGGTGGCATAGTGAGGTGGAGTGGTCCATAGTGAGGTGGTCCATAGTGGTCCATGGTTAGGTGGTACATAGTGGTGGTCCATAGCAAAGTGGGTGAGGTGGTCCACAGCAAAGTGATCCATGGTGAGGTGGTCCATAGCAAAGTGGTCCATGGTTGGGGTACATAGTGAGGTGGTCCATAACAAAGTGGTCCATAGTGAGGTGGTCCATAGCAAAGTGGTCCATGGTTAGGTGGTACATAGTGAGGTGGTCCATAACAAAGTGGTCCATAGTGAGGTGGTCCATAGCAAAGTGGTCCATAGTGAGGTGGTCCATAGCAAAGTGGTCCATGGTTAGGTGGTACATAGTGAGGTGGTCCATAACAAAGTGGTCCACAGTGAGGTGGTCCATAACAAAGTGGTAGTGAGGTGGTGGTCCATGGTGGTACAAGGTGGTCCTGTAAAGTGGTCCATAGTGAGGTGGTGTGGTCCCAAAGTGGTCCATAGTGAGTGGTCCATAGCAAAGTGGTCCATAAGGTGATGGTTACTTAAGGAAGCATTAAGAAATAAGAAATTAGACAGAGGAAAGTCGAGGTAGAGAGAGATGAGAGAATGTGCTGTGAGGCGGAAGGTCACGAGAAGGAATGAGTGGCACTTGTTGTATAGTGCTACACACACACACACTCTCTCTCTCTCTCTCTCTCATACACGCAGCAGAGAGAAAAACCACAATGAAATTTTGAACCCTCGCCAATCCAGTGCAGTGTGAGTAATGATCATGAGTTGTGACCCGGGAGGAAGGAGGGCCTAATGTGGGAAAAAGCCTTACACTGCACATTGGTCATGAACAAGGGAGGTCTGCCTCATGTGCTGGTAGGGAACATGTTTAACTGTGTGTTTTATTTTAGTTTTTATCTTCTCTTTTTTTTTTTTCCTCTGTAGTAAGAATGTTATGAGTGTTTGTCTGGGCTGTCGTAATGTGTCTCTCTAGTTGCCGTCGAGGTCACGTTACAGCCGCATTATTTTCGTATGTTCGCAACGTTTTGTTAGTTCATGGCTTCGTTGTATATCTTTAGTTAAACTGTTGATAGGTCGTTCTCGTCTTGACCATTGGGAATACACACCGGGCCTAACAGATCAACCAGTCAGACCTAACCTAACCTAACCTAACCTAACCTAACCTAACCTAACCTAAGAGAGGAAGGTTTGGTATAACGCCCCGGTAGGAGGACTGAAGGGATATTTATCGTTACTATTACTGACCCCCTGTGACTCGTTATCAACCTGTATCCGTCACTGATAGATGGCGACTTTCATCATTATCATAATCATCATTACCATAATCATCATCATCAATCTCTATCATTCCCTGATAGACGAAGACCTCCAAGTAATGCTTCTTAACCTTTGTCCCTCACACAACAGTTCGTGACAGGATATAATATTAAGAATTTTGCATTAACAATATTCCCGAGTCCAGCTAGACTCATTGCCTCGCGCTCCGATAAATGATACTTTTAGGATTTTGTGGGTTAGAAATAAATATTTAATCAATTTTCTCCCCTGTGAATCATAACTACAACACCGTAGTTTTAAAGCTTCATCACATAAAATGATCTCACACAAATTGGAACACATATTTCACGGGGAATAATTTTACAAAACACGGTAAATGAAATCGGGTATGATTACATTATAAATTTGCGTGTTTTAACGATGTTAGTTATTTTTTATATATAATTATAAAATTATATATTTCCAGGTGTGGGTCCCACAGTATAGAGAAGTAGTCAGCTTAAAATTGTCCCGGAATAAAATCTTGATGGTGTTTTCGGAAGTTTGGTGGGGAAGAAGAGTTGCTTAGATTAATATATAATTGATGAACTCGAGGTTTATTAACTATCACATGTATTAGGTTAAGTTAGGTTAGGTTAGTGGAATAAAACATATCCGTATTAACAGGAAACAGAGAATAAGAAAGTTAAATGCGGTGTTTGTTGTCTTGTTAGTTAGTAATAATATATGAAGCATACAGAGACAAGACCTGAGCAACATGGTACAATATTTAGTCACTTCAGTTATACAACATAAACGAAGGTTGGCTCTAGATTAGTTAGCACCACAATGTGTTTATATACTTCCTTCATGTCCTCCACAGTTGATCTTTGGATGATACTGAGTAATAAAATTGAAACCCGTTCGATCATTAATTACTTGTTAGTGGGCAGGGCATGAAAGAACAAGGTAATAACTGGGTGAAAACACTATCAACACTGATCAGATGGCAGTAATTTCAAGTTTGTCCGTGATTTGTAGGCGGAGAAATAAATTATTTACCGTAATTATGGCAATGTGTGATCTGCCATGTTCTGGTTCACATCGTCTGCTGTACGGGAGACTCCGCGGTCATTGTTTACGTGTACCAACGACTATCTCACCAGGCTTGTTTATTACTATTTATATTGGATTGAATTCGTTCATTTATCATACAATATATAAATCTGGAAGGCAAGGCATCTACATTTTTTCTGACACAATATGTATATATGTTATCAAGTAACAAAAACCTATGTATTTCCTGAAATACCTGATACTCACGCTACATAAACAAGTGAAATAAGATTTGTAAGGAACGCAACCGTGTGATAAAAAACAAGAATTTCAATATTACAGGAAGCGCCAAGGAGGTGTGGCACGGGGGACCTCTCTTGGGGGGGGGGAGGAGAGGAGGATAGTGGCAGAGGGTTAGGAGCGTGGGACACGAGGGAGGGAAAGGCGTAGAAGTATTGGATAGCTGAGAGAGAGAGATGGTAAATGAACGGAAAGGGGACTAGAAAGGTGAGGGAACAGAGAGAAGACTAGGAGAGGGTAGATAGATAGAGGAAGAAAGAGGGCTAGGAGAGGAGAGAGAAAAGGTTTGGAGAGTGAGGAGAGAGAGGACTTGGAGAGTGGGGAGAGATAGCGGGGAAAGAGAGGGCTAGGTGTGAGGAAAGAGAGAGGTATGGGCTATTATTACACCAGTGTCACGTCACCACTTAGTTGACAGCCAGGTAGGTTCATCTCCAGATTGAGTGACACTTTGAGAGACAAGAGACAGGTGGAGGAGCTCGCGCGCGTGTGTGTGCGCGGGGGGGGAGGGACCGATCGAGAGAGAGATGGAGGATAGAGAGGGAGAGAAGGAAATGGGATAGAGCGCAAGGAAGAGAGAGAGCTGTGGTAGTTCTCCGCGAGTTGTGTGTTAACTGTTTGGGATCAAGTTTCTGAAAGGTTCGTCCGCCAATTGTTTTCCCAACTTGAGGTTTTCTGATTTAGGAAAAATGGTAACGATTTTTTTAATAGGATTATTAAGAGTGAGTTTGAGATCAGTTAAAACACACACACACTACTACTACTTTGCTGTCACTCGGAACTGAGTATGACGATCATCCAGCTATGATACAATGATATGAGTTATTAGGGATGTCACCTTCATTGGTGAGTTTTAAGGTGACTGAAGAGGCCGATACGGGACCGGCAGAGTCGTTCACATTTGATGCACATGTGGAGGGCTACATCTAGTGCGGGAGGGGCGGTGGCAGTGTCTTTCCGGCTTTGTCCGCCGGCGTTACGTTTACTATTCGTTAGGGGACTGTAAAGTAGCTGCTTTGGCAGTCTACTGTCGTCCAGCGGGTAACATGGCCAGTCCAGCGTAGTTGTTCATGGATAATGGTAGCCTCGATGCTCCTGCAGTTGGTGTCAGAAAGAATACTGGCATTTGTTCTCTTGTCTTCCCAGCGAACTCGGAGGATGAAACGAAGACTACGTTGGTGAAAGTTTTCAAGTGCCTTGAGGTGCCTCCTGTATGTGACCCATGTCTCGCTACCATATAGCAGGGTGGGGAGGACCACTGCGCGATATACGTGCAACTTTGTAGATAATTTCAGCTCCCTACAGCTGATGACACGGGTACGGAGTCTGCCAAAGGCTTGAGATGCACATCTGATCCGATGCTGAATCTCTTCATCGCTGTCTGCGGTGGTGGATAGGTGGGAGCCGAGATTCCGAAAGTAGGTAGCATTAGAGAGGGTAGTACCGTTAAGCTGGATGGATGGTAGAGGTGTGTCTGAACCACACACACCCACCCACACAAGTAATGCTACATGCTATACAACTAATTGTTTGTCACTTTTATTACCCGCAGTTGATTCCGTGACAATGGACGTACAGTATAACCATTTCAGGACAGCTAGTAGGTATGTCACCTTAGTTATTAGTGAAGGTGATTACGGTAATTATCTTGAAAAAAAATTGAACACAGCCACTTTGTGTTACATTATCTAATGATAAACAATATTGCTTCTGTTATCCTACTTTACTTATAATCTCCTGACGTTAAGACTGTCCCACAGTCTGGCCAAAAGGAAAATCTGAATAATTGCTTCTTAAGTTCCCAGTTCCAAGAACCAAGACTTAAACTGTGTGAATAATGAAGTTGTCACGTTTCTCGGACGTTGAAACGTCTTACTCTTGCATTTAGAAAGTGAAAATTCTGTCAGGTTAGTCAGCGTAAGCATACCTCACCTGCATGGTAATTACTGTTGATGGAGGTAAAGACTCGCTAACCTAACCTACTTTAGGTATCAATCAAAGTACCGTTGTTACATCTGAGGGCTGGCGACCACGGTCCTCCACTCAAACGTTTTCGAGCTGTTTTTACCCGTGCTCCGAGATTTTACTCTCTCTCTCTCTCTCTCTCTCTCTCTCTCTCTCTCTCTCTCTCTCTCAAGAATAATTATTTCTTCAGTAGGCGCCGTCATCACGTCTTGGCCTTGAGAGGGACACCTTTCTTGTACATTATGAGGCAGATCAATACTCACACAGCAGAGACTTGTGCAGCTGGAACACTTGTCACTACCTATTGTAAGGCGAGGAGGGGGGGGTGGGAGGGAGAGGAGGGAGGAGGAGGAGAGGAGGGAGGGGAGGAGGGAGGGAGGGAGGAAGGAGGGAGGGGAGGAAGGGAGACGTGAAGGAGGGGGAGGGAGGGAGGAGTGAAGGAGGAGGCAGGGGACGGAAGGAAGGAGGGGAGGAGGGAGACGTA